CCCCATATCGCAGTTTTTACATTAGCAGTGACTCCATACTGCTGAGGTTTGCTCGGTAACCAGGGAAAAACCACAAATCCCCCTTGCAAAGGAGCAGAAATGGAAATGCCATAGCAACCAGCAGGGACAGAGCAGGGCTTCCCTGCTTCTCTCAAATTCTCTGCTCACTCCTGAGCCCTGAGGGCTCCCCAGCCCTGCTCAGGGTCCTTGGAGCCCTTTGGTGACAGCCATGAAGAGAAACCTTCATCATTTCCCATCATCTTCGTGATTTTCTCATGAAATCTTCTTCATGATTTCTCATCATCTTCACGATTTCTCATCATTTTCATGATTTCCTCATGAAATCTTCTTCATCATTTCTCATCATCTTCACGATTTCTCATCATTTTCATGATTTTCTCATGAAATCTTCTTCATGATTTCTCATCATCTTCACGATTTCTCATCATCTTCACGATTTCTCATGAAATCTTCTTCATGATTTCTCAAACCCAGAGCTTTGAGCCTTGCACAAAGGGAGGCTCAGACCCCTGAACAATACAGCCCCAGGTGGCTGCCCAGGGTTGTTTTGGCTTTAAAAAGGGAGAAAGTTTTGCTGAACCAAGAGAATAAACACACAACGTCTCAGGGGGTATAACAGAAGTTTCCTCAGGGAAAAATCCACACCATGACATTTCCCAGGTTTTACACTGGAGCCATCCCTGTGTGACCAGATAATTTCACTTTGCACACCACAGAAATGCAGCTCTGGCTGCTCTCACAGCCTCACCACAGCCAGGTCCTGAAAGGTTTTTCTGTCTCTGCCCTCTCAGTCATGAGAATAATCCACACAGAAGAGCCAGGTGGCTTCCTCAGGTTGTTTTGGCTTTAAAAAGGGAGAAAGTTTTGCTGAATCAAGACAATAAACACACAAAGTCTCAGGGGGTATAACAGAAGTTTCCTCAGGGAAAAATCCACACCATGACATTTCCTAGGTTTTACACTGGAACCATTCAGATAATCTCACTTTGCACACCACAGAAACACAGCTGCTCTCACAGAGCCAGGTCCTGAAAGGTTTTTCTGTCTCTGCCCTCTCAGGGATGAGGATAATGCACACAGAAATGTTGGCCAGGCTCCTTTCCTCGGTGCTTTCCTGCCTGGGGCTGATGGGGCAGCTGCTGCAGGGTCTGTCCCTACCCCGTGCTCACCCCACTCTGTGGATTCCTCAGGGTTGTGTGCAGGATCCTATCTCTCCTCAAAGCTAGAATCGTCTCTGGGGCAGACACAGCCCAAAAGTATTTCTAATTATCCACCTGTTATGAATGGGGGATGATTAACACCATAAACACAATGATCAGGAAGGAAGAATCGATTGTGTTCATGTGAGGAACACAAACCAGTCTGCCACAGCACAGGGTGATTGAGTCCTTGCAGATCCACCCACACCATCAGATCCCTGATTTCCTTGGAGTCCCTGTGCCCCTCATCCCCAGGGATGTTCTTTGGGATGCATATCCTGGGTAATAAATCAGAAATCAAATTCCAGATGTGCAGATTTATCATCCACAGCAGCAGAAACAGCCCAACCCTTCCACACACCTCACCTCAGCTATCAAACAACAGAGGGGCTCGCAAAATGAGGGTTTTTCTCTGCAAGAAACACACAAATCAATCCGGAGGAGAAAAGCCCAGTTTGTGTAGACCCAGCTTGGAGACAAAGGCAGGAGGAAGGTGCTGAGTGAGCCTTTGTGCTTTGTGCTGCCCTGGCCCCATTGGCAGCTGCCTGCACAAATGAGGGGAAAGTGGGTCACAGTCACCAGGACAACAGCAGCACACACTGACCCAGATACTGAACCTCATCCTGCTCCTGGCACAGCCCTCAGGGTTCACACGGGACCAGGGGTTCCAGCTGGGGAAACACAGCATAGAAACCAGCTCCAAAATGTTGTTTTTCTGTTGGTGGCAGCAAGAGCAGCCTCTCCCTCCTCTCTGTTTCACAGTGGTGGCACTTGGTGCTGGTGGCAGCTTCCTGGGATGGCTTTTTGGGATCCTGACACTGCAGGAGGGCTGAGCCACAATTCCAATGGGACTGTGCCAACACCACAGGGTGTCAGCTTGGGTTCTGACCCTGTCACTGTTGGTTTAGTGCACTGCATTGTTTATTTTATCTTTTTATTTTCTTCCCTAATAAAGAACTGTTATTCCTGCTCCCACATTTTTGCCTGAGAGCCCCTTAATTTCAAATTTATAGGAATTTGGAAGGAGGGGGTGTGGTGGTGTTTGCAGGGGTGGTGTTTGCAGGGGTCCCAGAACGAGGGAAGAGATGAGACTCTTAACTCCATGGTTCAGAAGGCTGATTTATTCTTTTATTATATATATTCTATTAAAAGGAAATGATCTATTAAAACTATACTAAAGAACAGGAGGATTTCATCAGAAGGCTAGAAAAGGAATGATAATAAAATCTTGTGACTGCTCACAGCTTTGACACAGGTGGCTGTCATTGAACATCAAGTAAAAACAATTTCACATGCTGGGTAAACAATTCTCTAAATCACATTCCAAAGCAGCAAAACCTGGAGAAGCTGAAGCTTCCCAGCTTTGCAGGAGAAAAGATCCTAACTAAAGGATTTTTCAGCAAATATGCCTGTGACAAGGGGGTTTACATTTCCCATTTCAGGGGAGGCTCCTGCCTTCCTTAGCAGAAACCTGACTTTCCAAGCCAAGGCAGTGACCCAGAGGGATTCAGTCCCTCAGGAGTGCCCTGGGATGCCCTTGCAAGGTCACAGAGCTCCACAGGGAGCAGCAGGCAGTGCAGCCCAGGGTCCCTGGGAGCTCTGGCAGCAGCAACTTGAGCTGAGCTATTCTGAGGCAGCAGGAGCTGGGTGTTCATGGTTAACTGACATCCAGCTCCCAGGAGTGCCAAAAGAACACCCAAATCCTGACTAACTGACAGGCACAAGCTTTTCCCAGCACCCACTTACAGCTGGATTCACCTCCCAGGTGCTGGTGCTGGCAGGGGCTGAGGACTCTGCTCTGGCAGAAAACCAAACTCACAGGAGTTTATTTGTCTGCAGCTGGTTGTGCTCGTGGCACAAACCAGGGAAGAGGATGAGACTTCTCCAGTTAATAATAGTAATAGAAAACAGAAATTGGGCCAGCTCAGGAGAATTCTGGAGGAAAAAAGAAAAAAAAAAGCTGATTTTCTTTCACCTGACAACACAAGGATATCTCTGAGCTACTCCTTTCCACAGGTGGAATAAAGGATTTTACTCTGTCCTATCAGGCTCTTCCCTGCACAGCTATGAGTGCTTCATAACCTGGAGGCTGCCTTTGGCTCCCACCACCCTTCCAGCATCACTCCTGTAAAAATCTGTATTTATTATCTCTATTCTTAAGCACTGAAAACTCTAAATCATCTCCACTTCACCCTGTATTTACCAGCACCACAATCTAATGCCATTTTCAGCCCACATCTCTCCTGAAAGGCCTTTGCAGTGTCTGCTTCTCCAAAGATGATAAATACTTGTAAGCTGGGTCAACGAATCAATCCATCACAGTCTGGGATGTGGAAAGCAGTAACTGTGAAAGAAAATGTCTGTATTAATTTAATCCTTCCTGTATGAAGGGAAATGGGTCACAGGGCAGCAGTTTGTACAAGTATCAGAGCAGGGGATGGAATATCAAATGCAGAGGCAGTGTGTGAGCATCCTGCCTGGAAGCTGCAAACAGCTGGAATATCCCAGCAAACCAGAGAAAAACAGTCTGGCTTCAAATACCAGCAGCAAGTTTAAAGGCAAAGCAAGAAAAGCTTCTGCACTTCTCTATGATGCAAATCATGGGTGATGCTTTAAGGAAAAACAAACCACACGGCTTATTTTATCCCCCTCTCCTCTTTGCTCTTCATATCACTCGGTTTTACTGAGTTCAAATTGCCTGCTGACAGGGACCGCTGGTGGAAGTGGCACATTTTAAGCTCATATTTATCCTGATTTATCCTGCTACCCCAGAGCAACCCTTGAGCTCAGGGCTCACCAGTGAAGGGCTCCCCCAGCTCCCTCAAACCCGCCCCTGGCTCTCCCAACCCCTCATGACCCTTCCAACCCTGGCTCCTCCACACCCCTCGCTCTTCCAGCCCCTGGGGCTCCCTCAACCCTCGTTCCTCAAGCTCCCCTCAGGCCACACCAGCCCTCCCGGCCTTCCCCAGGCACCCCTAGGCTCCTCCAGGCCCGTCTGAACCCCTCCAACACCCCCGGCTCCCTCAGCCCCACACCACCAGACGCGGCTCCTCCAGCCCGGCAGTTCCAGTTCACAGCCGGCGGCTCCTGCAGCCCCCTCAGTCCCGCCGCAGCCCCCGGGGCTCCTCCGCGGGCGCTGTTCCCCCTCAGCCCCGCCGCAGCCCCCGGGGTTCCTCCGCGGGCGCTGTTCCCCCTCAGCCCCACCGCAGCCCCCGGGGCTCCTCCGCGGGCGCTGTTCCCCCTCGGTCCCGCCGCTCCCTGAGGCGCCGCTCCCGCCCCAGCGCTCGAACGGCCGGAAGCCGCACTGGGGGCGTGGCCTGTCACTAACAAGGGCGTGGCCTGATGGACAGGGGCGTGGCAACACAGTGCGGTCGCTAAGGAGGCGTGGTTTATCACAGGGCGTGGCCAATCAGAGGGCGGAGCCCCAAGGGGGCGTGGCCTGGGCCGTGCGCGCTGACGCAGCGGCCGCGCGCGCCGCCGGGGCCGCGCTCGCCCGCCCGAATCCAACATGGCGGCGGGGGGCGGCGGCGGCGGCCGCGGGGCTGGCGGGGGCAGCGCCCCGCGCTGGGGCAGCGGCGGTGGCGGCCGGGCCGCGCCGCACGAGAAGCTGCCGGTGCACGTGAGTGCGGGGGCCGCCCCAGCGGCCGCCATCGCCCCTTCCCTACCCTCCCCGCCCCCGCGAATGGCCGCTCCGAGCCCCCCCGGGACGGCCCCGCCCGCCCCCGCCGTGACCTGCCCTGTCCCGGCCGCGGTGCCGAACTCGTCCCCTCGGGCTTGTCCCTCACCCGCCGGTATCGGGGGGTGTCCTGGGGGCTTGTCCTCATCGCGCCGGGGGCTTCCCCTCCCTCCTCCCCTGCTTCCATGGGGTCCCCTGGGGCCGCATCCTTTCCCCCCGGTACCGTGTCCTGTTCCCCCGGTACCGTGAGGGCTCCCCGGGCCTGTTCCCCCCTCCCCTGGGCCGTGCCGCTCTCCTCGTCCCTGCTGTTCTCTCTGGTACCGCGGTCATCCTCCCCAGGGACCTGTTCCCGGCTCCCGGTACCCTGCTCCCGTCCGTGCCTTGACACCCCCGAGCCCGGGCAGCCACCGGGGCCTGCCGGCCTCGGGCCCCTCACCGGTACCGAGTGCCCTTCCCGGTGCTGCGGGGCTCCCCCGGGGCCGGTTCCCCTGGCTGGGCTCACCGTGTTCTCCCCCACAGGTGGAGGATGCCCTTTCCTACCTGGACCAGGTGAAGATTCGCTTTGGCAGTGACCCCGCCACCTACAACGGCTTCCTGGAGATCATGAAGGAGTTCAAGAGCCAGAGGTAAAGCCAAGGTCCTGCCCCCCTGGGTGCTCTGGGGAGCTCCTCAGCCTTTCACAGAACCTCAGAATATCCTGAGCTGGGAGGGACCCTCAGGGATCAAATCCAGCCACCCCAAGAACCCCACCCTGAGCAGCCCTGGGAGCTCCTGGAGCTGTGGCAGCCTTGGCACCATTCCCTGGGGAGCCTGGGCAGTGCCCAGCAGCCTCGGGGGGAAGAACCTTGCCCTGAGCTCCATGCCAAGGCCTGGCCTAGCTCCAGCTCTTCCCCCAGGTTTCAGCCTTTGTGGGGTCTGTGCAGACTCCCCCAGCTTTCACCCCATCATTCCCCCTCTGCACACTCCCTGCCCTGTCCCACAGTGGTGCAGTCCTGTGAAGCTGGAGTATTTCTCCCCATCCCATAATTTTCCAGAGGTGCAATCCACAGGAGAAAGCAAATCTGCTTTTGCTTTCCACTCTGAAACACAGATCTGGGAAACAGGTGAGGTAGCCTGAGCAGAACCTGTGACCTGCCAGCCCTGGAGGTGCTGTCTGTCTGTCTGTCCTGCCCCTTTGCCAACCTGCACACTCCTCTCTCCTCTCCATGGATAACATTCCCAGGGTGAAACTGCAGTGCTCATTCTCTCTAATTGGGCTATTTTTTTTAAAAAGAATTGCATCCTTAAGTTACCAGATACTTTGCATTTCTCTTGGCATTTTCTGGGCTTAACTTGTGTTTCTGATTTGGATAAAAAAAGTAACAAACCCCTCTCAATTTTAGCATTGACACACCTGGAGTGATCCGACGAGTTTCTCAGCTTTTCCATGAGCATCCTGACCTCATTGTAGGATTCAATGCATTTCTCCCTCTGGGCTACAGGATAGAAATTCCAAAGAATGGGAAATTAAGTATACAGTCACCTTTGAATAGTCAGGTAGGTTCCAGAGCTCTTATTCCCTAAATAAACTCTTCTGTGTGTCACTGGACATGTCTGCACAGTTCAGGCTGTGCAGATTTATGTGTAGTGCACGTTGCTAATGGTTTTACATGGTTTTCAAACCTGTGACAATGAGTGTAATATAAATTTAAATGTTTATTCAAAGAATCACAGAGTGCTTTAGGTTGGAAGGGACCTTAAAGATTACCTAGATCCAACCCCTGATTTATTCTCAAACCAGGTAGTTTGACTTACACAGGAATGATGATTCTGCATGGAAACACCACTGCAACACCAAATATTTCAGCCATGTTTGGAAAGTGAAATTTAACAATATCAAGCCAATTACTGAAATTGTAATTGGCTTGACATTGTTAAATTGGTTCCCAATACGGGTTGTGGGTAGTGGCAAATTTCAAAGGGTGATCCTGGAAGAATTGCACTTCCAGTCTTCCACTGAGAAACCAGGAAACTTGTTTAGGAAACAGGAAAAAGAACTGTGAAATCATTGAATTGTTTACCTTGGGAAAGGTCTTTAAGATCATGGATCTTTAAGATCCCCCTCAGGTTCTGTTGGTGTGAAACACTTGCTGGGATACAGATGGGTGTTACCCCTGCTTGTTTTTTGTTGTTATTGTGTGGTTGTGGAGCTGAAATGGAGCCATAAACTGAATTCTGCTGATAAACTTGTGGTTTAACTCCATTTAGCAGAAGGAACTACCTTTTAAATCTCAGCTCCCTCAGATCTCTGTGTTATTTAGGAATTAAGACCTCTAAGGGGTTATGTTTAATATGCCCCTTAAAACTGGCAGCTCCTCTGCAATAACCAGTGGCAGCAGAACCTGCACTGGTGTTTGGTGCAGCCTCTCAAGTCATAATAAGGCTGTGACAGCCACAAATCAGGTGGTTCCTACAGCAGGGAGAACTTCAGGCATTATTTTAACAGGTGGAGTTAATAAACCAGGTAGGGAAATTGATTGGTGACTGAAATACTTTTTCTTCCTTCTTCACGTGACCGTATTTTTTTAGCTGGAGACTTTGCCAGCCCTGCTGCTGGTTTGTTGTTGAGCTGATCCCTGATCTTTTTCCAACCCATCTCGTGTGTCCTGTGCCCCCAGGTGCCCCCAGAGCCTGTTCCCAGTGCACTCCCTGGCAGTGGGCTGGTCTTGCACTACTCCCAGGAGAATTCCCACAACCACAGCGACTGCTCCGAGGAGTTCCGGCAGCAGCTTCCCTACAAAGAGGATAAATCCCAAATTCCCTTGGAATCTGATTCTGTGGAGTTCAATAATGCCATCAGTTACGTGAATAAGATCAAAACACGTTTCCTTGACCATCCAGAGATTTACAGATCCTTTCTAGAAATTCTTCACACTTACCAGGTAAAAAGTCTCCTCTTGTGGTAGAGGCGCTGGGTTGGCACTGGAGCTGTTGGAATTGTGGTTGTCAAATTTAACCTCTGCCTGTTGAACAGACTTAAAGTTCCCAAGCACTTGTCTTCATAGATATTCACAGGAAATGACAAAAAATGTGAAAACTGTGGGGTGTAGAGAGGTTGTAGCCAGACTTGTCTTTACTCACCTCCAGCTGATTTTGTGATCCTGTGTGTGAGGAGGCCCTGTAAGAGCCTGGGGCTGCCTCAGAGTCCTTTCAAGTTCTGTGGCATTCATGTTTTTGGCTCAGGGTGAGTTTTCTGGCAGAGTGAAGGATCTTTTGACCCTGTTGAACATCTGTGTGTATCTTTTCAGAAGGAGCAGCTGAACACCAAGGGCCGACCCTTCCGGGGCATGTCAGAGGAGGAAGTGTTCACTGAAGTGGCCAATCTGTTCCGGGGACAGGAGGATCTGCTCTCAGAGTTTGGACAGTTCCTCCCAGAGGCAAAAAGGTCTTTGGTATGTGCTGAGAGCAGGGCAGGATATTCAATGCTCTTGTCTGCATGTAGAATATGCAAAACATGGAAAATCATACAGCCAGTAATGAACCTTTCTCCTCTTCATTGTTTGGAATTTCTCAGAACAGGTGACTTAACCACATGCTCTGTGTCCTGTTAGGATTCTTTGTTTGAGAGGAGAATGTTGAAATCATTATTTATTTACTTCAGTTCACAGGAAATGGACCATGTGAAGTGAACAGTGTCCAGAAAACCGAGCATGAGAAGAATTTGGAGCACAGCAAGAAGCGATCCAGGCCGCTGCTGCTGCGTCCTGTTTCTGGCCCAGCAAAGGTATCTTCCAGCAAGTAAAAACTCATAAAAACCTCCATTACTTGTGCTTAGTAATTGCTGAGAGATAAAGGTTTAATGAGTAGTGTCTTTGATGTATGTAGGTGTATGAAACACAAAAGTTTGAGTTATTTTAATTGCTGTAGAAAAAGGGAATTTTTAATGCTTGCTTAAATGTGTGTGGTAACATGTTTGATACTAAATATCACAAGCTTCTGTGCTAAGTATTGGCCCTGGAAGGGGACAATTTGTTGCTTCAATGCAGAATCTCAAGTGATTCTCTTTTTTTGTTGTTTTTTCTTAGCTGGGAGACATTTGACAGAGATTGCTGTGAGGACGTGACACAGCAATGCCAGATCACTGCTGGGGAAATACAGGGTCTCAGCCTTTGCAGGGAACTGTTCTGTGTCAACAGAGTGGAATTTGATGGCATTTGAGTCACAACATTTTAAATATAACTGCTTGTTCTTTTAACAGAAGAAAATGAAGCTGCGAGGTACCAAAGATCTGTCAGTTGCAACAGTGGGGAAATATGGGACACTGCAAGAGTTTTCCTTCTTTGACAAGGTCAGCATTTGTCCTTTTCTCACTTTCTCTGGACTTACCTTCAGCTTTTTATATGGTTGTTAGTCTGTTGGTTTTCTGTACAATTTATGTGTCAACACTTAAGACATTCCCTGACTTTTCAGGTATAGAAAAACCAACAAAAATTCAAATAAGTGGGTTTGGAAGATGAATAGACTGATAATGAATAATTTTCTCAATGTAAGTGGCATTCAGGTGCTGTGATCATCTCTCCAAACTGCTGCAGGTGCGCAGGGTGCTCAAGAGTCAGGAGGTCTATGAGAATTTTCTCCGTTGCATTGCTCTCTTCAACCAGGAGTTGGTCTCTGGCTCTGAGTTGCTCCAGCTTGTTACACCCTTTTTAGGGTAAGTTACTAACTTACCTCTCTGCCCTCTGGTACTTTGTAGGCCCTACTCTGTTATTTTTTGGGCACATTGTCAACTTCTGGAAAAAAGTTTTGGATTTAACTTCGAAGTATCTCCTGGACAGCAGGCAAGAAAATGAAGTTTAATCCAAAATGAGGAGTAATAAAATCTGAACCTTTAAATTTATCTATACAGCTCTTAATGAGTATTGTGAGGAAGATATTTTCCTCTGTCTGTTTACACTCCCCATTTAATATCTCAAAGTGTAATAAAGGTATAAACATGAAATCTGAGAACAGGACTGTGAGAAGGATAAACAGGTCCAGCTCTGCTGGGAGCCTCCTGAGCTGTTTGGCTTGCAGCAGGAGAGGGAGAATCAAATGGCAAGGATCAGTTTCTCCTCAGGCACTTAAGGGGGAGAGTGTTTGTGTGGTGAAGGGAAATAATTTTCCTACTTAAAGTAAAAACAAACCAAACCCTACAGCAATTCAGAGAGAATGATAACAGAGGTGAGATGTTGGTGAAAGATTTCTCCCTGCACTGCTGAGTTTGTTGAGATATTTCTGCCTCCCTTTTATGACACGCATTAACCACCCTAAAACTGTCACACTGAAATAACAAAATCCTTGTGTTTTTTGAAGGAAATTCCCAGAACTCTTTGCACAGTTCAAGTCCTTCCTTGGGGTGAAAGAGCTTTCCTTTGCTTCTCCTCTGAGCGACCGCTCTGGGGACGGAATGAGCCGGGAAATCGATTACGCCTCCTGCAAACGCATCGGATCCAGTTACAGGGCTCTCCCAAAAACCTACCAGCAGCCAAAGTGCAGTGGGAGAACAGCCATTTGCAAGGAGGTACTCTGGGATCAGGCTCTTCAATCCCTGAACACACATAAAAATCAGAGTGGGGCGGTTTGTGCCACAGCTGCTGCATGTGGAGTCCCCTTTTCAGTGCTAATTCAATTTATTCAGCCAATTTATTGAAATAATGCCCACATTTCACTGATTTTATCTAAACCTTTCTCAAATCACATCTCTAATACCTTTTGAGTCTGTGTGCAGACAGAAATTTATTCCTGTAGACAGAAAAGAATATTGGCATATTGGTAATATCCTGGTATTAATTTTCTTGCAGTGGGCCAGTATGGCCTTTGGGAAGAGTTTTTCTCTGGAAGAGCCCCGTGAGGCAGTGCCTGAGGTGCCATTCCTGCTGTTGTGGGGAGCTCTGTCTCCTTTATTTACAGCTGCTGATCACTGCAGAGTGATCTCTGTGAAGTGATAGTGAAGGTGTTGAGTTTTCTGAACAAAGCCCTGCAGTTCCACACAGACCTCAAATGTGGGGAGCAGTGACCTGGGAATTAGGCCTGGCATGTCCTACAGAACCTCAGGAAAGAATTGTGCAAAATACAAGAGACAAAACCCCATGAGACCTCTGGGCTCACAAGGCCCTGCTCAATGTCATGTCTGCACTGTTGCAGGTGTTAAATGATACCTGGGTTTCGTTTCCATCCTGGTCTGAGGACTCCACTTTTGTCAGCTCCAAGAAGACTCCATATGAGGAGCAGCTGCACCGCTGCGAGGACGAGCGCTTTGAGGTACCTCTGCTGCTCTGCTCCCTCAGAAAGCAAAACCTCTGGATTCTGCTGAATTAATGAGTGGCCTGAAAGTTCTGATTGGGTGAAATTCCTGAAAGTTCTGTTGGGTGTTTGTTGGTTTGAGATGGAGTTTGGTGTGCTGTGCTTGGGGTCTAATAGTTCTTCCTAGGCTTGAAAGTTCTGTTGGTGTTTGTTGGTTTGAGATGGAGTTTGATGTGCTCTGCTTGGGGTCTAATACTTCTTCCTAGGCATGAATCCAGTTCTAAATTGCATGTGACCTTTGGGAGAGCTGGCAGAGGTTTGGTTTCCAGTAAAAACCTTCCTGCTGCTTCCTGGCTCCACCCTGTGGGGCTGCAACACCTTCCACAAACCTGGGCGGCTGCTGCTGCTCTCCGTGTTCCTGCTCTGCCTGTTCTGACCCTGATTTTTGGCAACTCTCAACAGCTGGATGTTGTCCTGGAGACCAATTTAGCCACAATCCGTGTGCTGGAGAGTGTGCAGAAGAAACTGTCCCGCCTGAGCCAGGAGGACCAGGAGAAATTTCGCCTGGATGATTGTTTGGGAGGAACGTCAGAAGTGATCCAGCGCCGGGCCATCTACCGCATCTACGGTGACAAAGCACCAGAGATCATCGAGAGTCTGAAGAAAAACCCAGTTACTGCTGTCCCTGTGGTTCTCAAGAGGTAATTCCCATTGTGTTGTGTTCTTTAAGAAGTTGGAAAAGGATTTTTAAAGCATTTTTAAACAGTAAAATGTGAGGGTGTAGCCTCAGGCTGTGCTGCTGGAAGTTCTGGTTGGAAGTCAGGGGTAATTTCTTCACAGAAAGGGTTGTTAAACATTGGAAGGGGGTGCCCAGGGAGGTGGTGGAGTCCTCATCCCTGGAGCTGTTCAAAAACCAACTGGACGTGGCACTTGGTGGTCTGGTGTTATTGATAAAGCAGTGATTGATCAAAGGTTGGACTTGATGATCTCAGAGGTCTTTTCCAACCTGAATGGTTTTGTGATTCTCTAGGTGTTGTTTTAACTCATCATCACTGGTGCTGCTTTTTCAAATTTATTTATTGCTTCCAGGAATCAATTCCAGTTTTCCATTGAAAACTTCTTGCTGCACCACAGTTGGCTACATTAAAATGTTCTGGGTGTGTTTCTGTGCCTGTCTGTCTGAACTGATGTAGACTGTCCATTTATGCAGATTGAAAGCAAAAGAGGAAGAATGGAGGGAGGCCCAGCAGGGCTTCAACAAGATTTGGAGGGAGCAGTATGAGAAGGCCTATTTGAAATCCCTGGATCACCAGGCTGTCAACTTCAAGCAGAATGACACCAAAGCTCTGCGCTCCAAGAGCTTGCTGAATGAAATTGAGAGTGTCTATGACGAGGTGGGTGTGACAGGGAGGGAGCCCTCCTCCCTTCCCTGCCTTACTGGTGTCAGCCAGGTGTGTCCACAGCACCTGGGACCGTGTGGAAGTGGTTGGAAATTGGGTCAAAACCAGCTGTCCCTAGCACAGTGTTACACTGGGTTACTCCTCCTGGCAGGAATTGGAAGGATCTTTATCTGTTTGTCTCTTGATTACAGCATCAGGAGCAGCATTCAGAGGGGAGGAGTTCATCCACAAATGAGCCTCATCTTATCTTCATCTATGAAGACAAGCAGATTTTGGAAGATGCAGCATCTCTTATCAGCTATTATGTGAAAAGGCAGCCCACCATCCAAAAGGAGGATCAGGCAACCATCAGGCAGATTGTGCATCACTTCATACCTGAGCTGTTCTTCTCTCAGCCACCTGAACACAACATTTCTGAGGAATCAACAGATGAGGACAGAGAAAACCACCAGGGCCAGAACCTGGATACTCCTGAGCTGCGGAAAAAACACGTGCCTGGGCCTCCAAGCAGTCCTTTGGAGACCAAAGCCACCTTCTGTGATGTGACAGCTGCTGAGTCCCACAACACCCTGGATGATGTTTACAGCCTCTTCTTTGTCAATAATAATTGGTATTTCTTCCTACGCCTTCACCAGACTCTGTGCTCCAGGCTCCTCAAGATTTATCGCCAGGCCCAGAAGCAGCTTCTGGAATACAGGACTGAGAAAGAGAGAGAGAAGCTCCTCTGTGAAGGGAGGAAAGAAAAAACCAATGATCCAGCCATGGAGCTAAGACTCAAACAACCAAGTAAGAATAATGCAGGGCTTAGTTCATTCATAATGCTCTGGGTGCCAGTGCTCCATTGTGTTTGTCTGAGTCACCAGGGCCAGCAGGCAGCTCTGGGAGGGGGGTTGGAGGTGCAATCCTCTGCTGTGCTGGTGAGTTGTGGGCACAGCTCCTTCAGCAGGGCACTCAGGGTGTCCCAGGCTGCTGCACAGAGACTTCCTGAGTGCTGTGCTCAGCTGTTCCCAGGTACCTCACCGTAGGAATCTGTTACTTTGATTTACAATGTAAACAGCCCCACAAAGAAATAGTTATTGCCCAGGGCACTCCTGGGAGGGCATGAGAAAAACTGTCCCAGCCTGTCAGGGCAGCTGGCAGAGATCTGCCTGTCTGTAAGGTCACTCTCCTGTCTGTAAGGTCACTCTCCTGCCTGTAACGTCACTCTCCTGTCTGTAATGTCACTCTCCTGCCTGTAACGTCACTCTCCTGCCTGTAACATCACTCTCCTGCCTGTAACGTCACTCTCCTGCCTGTAACGTCACTCTCCTGCCTGTAACGTCACTCTCCTGCCTGTAACGTCACTCTCCTGCCTGTAACGTCACTCTCCTGCCTGTAACGTCACTCTCCTGTCTGTAACGTCACTCTCCTGTCTGTAATGTCACTCTCCTGTCTGTAATGTCACTCTCCTGTCTCTCATATCTCTCCCTGCACTGGGTTTTGTGGTTCTTGAGCAATGCTGCTGTGGTGGTGCTCTCAGGGGTCCCAGGATGAGGGAAGAGATGAGAATCTTGGCTCCATGGTTCAGAAGGCTGATTTTTTATTTTATGATATATATTATATTAAAGGTATGCTAAAAGAATAGAAGAAAGGATTTCATCAGAAGGCTAGCAAGGAATAGAAAGAAATGGAATGATAATAAAATCTTGTGACTGACCAGAGAGTCTGAGACAGCTGGGCTGTGATTGGCCATTAATTAAAAACAACCACATGAGACCAATCACAGATGCACCTTTTGCATTCCACAGCAGCAGATAACCATTGTTTACATTTTGTTTCTGAGGCCTCTCAGCTTCTCAGGAGCTAAAGATCCTAACAAAAGGATTTTTCATAAAATAAGTCTGTGACATGCTGCCTCTTGCACTGCTTGACTTCACTCTGCCTGTTGTGTGTGTGTGAAATGAACTCCCTTTCCCCATGCCAGGTGAGGTGGAGCTGGAGGAGTACTACCCAGCCTTCCTGGACATGGTGAGGAGCCTCCTGGATGGGAACATTGACCCCACTCAGTACGAGGACACCCTGAGGGAGATGTTCACCATCCACGCCTACATCGGCTTCACCATGGACAAACTGGTGCAGAACATCGTGCGCCAGGTGAGCCTGGGCTGGGCTGGGCTGGGCTGGGCTGCTCTGCTCTGCTCTGCTCTGCTCTGCTCTGCTCTGCTCTGCTCTGCTCTGCTCTGCTCATCTCCCCTCACTCACTGCCAGCCTCTCCCAGTGCCCTGCAGAGCAACGGGCACAGAGCTCAGAGCAAATCCAGAGAAAACTTAAATCTGACAGGGAAATGCCCCAGCAGAAGTTTAGTGAGGGAATTTGGCTTCCATACAAAAACCATCTTAGGGGGTTTATTCTTTCTGGTCTTTCCCAATTTTTTTTTTTTTTTGGTTCCAGTCTTTTCAAAATCCTGCCACGCTCAAAATGCATCCATCGTTCTGATTTTTTAAGATTTTCTAATGTTTACATTCTTGTAACAAGCTTTCTCACACACTTTCTGTAAATAATTACTGGTTTGCATTCTTTTATAGAAGAAGAAAAATTTGATAGACTATTAGTTTGTCCAGTGTCATTGGAGAGGAGGCACTTTCACCCTCCAATCCACTGTCACCTTTGGAAAACTATAAATGTTAAAATCAGAAAATAAACTTCCCTTTTCTTCACCTTGAGAGCAGTGGTTAATGTTTTGTGTCCTATAGTAACACACATGTAAGGCAACACAAAAAATCTCAGGTCCTTCTTACTCAAGTCTGTCTCCCAGCTGTGTTTTATAGTTCAGGCACATTAGCCCCTCACTCTGCTCTCCTCCTTTCATTGCAAAGTCATGAAAAAGAGAGTGAAATGTGGCAAGTCTCTGGAGTTTGCTGCTTCAGCTGAGTGTGATGCCATGCTGAATTTTACCCTCCTTTCATGACACACTGGAGTTACCTCTTGGCCCAGGCTTGCTGACTGAATTCCCCCTTTTTTTAATGGAAGCTTCACCATCTAGTGAGCGATGACATCTGCTTGAAGGTGGTTGAGCTCTACCTGAACGAGAGGAAGCGAGGAGCTGCTGGGGGGAATTTGTCATCGCGCTGTGTGCGGGCAGCAAAGGAGACCAGCTACCAGTGGAAGGCTGAACGGTGCATGGCAGATGAGAACTGCTTCAAGGTGAGGCCTCGCTGCCAGGGAATGTCACAGAATCACTGAAAAACTTCAGGAAATCTCTCAGGTGACATTTCAAAGTTGGGTTTGGAAGCTTCAAGGTGAGAGAGTGAGCAATATGGAGAGAAGGTACCAAAATCAGAGCCCAGGCAGTGAGGGGACACTGTGGCTCACTGAGAAGCCCTGCTGCTTCTCTCCTAGCTTCTATTTGCTGTCCAAATGGCTTGTGAATATGCAGCATTTTATTGTGAACCCCTGTGGCAAATATTTTCTGTAACTTTATCCCAGGTCATGTTTCTCCAGAGGAAAGGACAGGTGATCATGACCATAGAGCTGCTGGATACAGAAGAAACCCAGACAGAAGATCCTGTGGAGGTCCAGGTAACACCACAGTGACCATGGAGTCTGGGTAGCACAGAGCAGATGTCTAAGAATGAGGAAAACTCATTTCCCTGCTTTATTGTTCCAAACTGTGAGGCTTTGCCAGGAGGACAAGTTGGCCTGGAGGGTGGGCTGTGGTCACTGACAGAAATGGTGCTTTAGCAAAAGAGGATCAACCTAAATCAAGAGGATCAACCTAAATCAGCCTCAGAATGATCAGCTTGGAAATAAACGGGTTCTTTGCAGTGATGTTTGTCCTGCTGGAATGAAATCTCACTGGAACTTGTCTCCCTTGTGTAGCACCTGGCAAACTACATGGAGCAGTACGTTGGGGTGGAAGGAGCTCCCAACAACCAGAACGATGGCTTCCTCCTGAAACCGGTCTTTCTGCAAAGGTGAGCTGCTCCCTGCCCTGAGCCACACCTGCTGCTGCCTCCTCCCTGCCCCTGTGCCAGGGCTTTGGCAGCTGTGCCACCGTGGTGTCGGGTCTGTCTGTCTGTCTGTCTGTCTGTCTCTGCCCCCACACGGGCAGGGTGGTTCTTGGGTGGCACACAATTCAAAGGACGAGTCTGGACTCTTCAGCTTTTTGGTCTTCAGGTTGTTTATTATTTCTTATCTACAAAATTTTCTGTCTGCCCAGCAGAGGTCTGATCTGCAAGCAGTCACAGGCACTCTCTGACCACCCACGGGGCGGTCATGTCTTTTTATACTAAAATCTACGTACACAATATTTACCTTTATTTCCCAATGCTTTTCACCCATGTTAGCAAGTGCACCTTCACCATGAACCAATCTCTAAGTGCCAACATCATCACAGGAGATGGAGGACAAGAAGAAGAAAGAAGGACGAGACACGCCCTGATCCCTCCATCTTGTCTCCATAACCCCCCTGTAGCAAAAACCTTAAAGTCTATATCTCACCCTCTAAATGTGTCTCTTTTACACCTTGTACTCTAAAGTTATTCTCTTGTCCTCAAACTCTTGTCACTTCTGTGGATGGATCAAAATCAAGCCACCAAACACTCTTGGCAACATTCCAGGATTTTCGAGACCCCCAAGGGTTCTCCTGGCATCTCTGGACATCGGGAGCGATGTGCTGAGATCCCACACCGTGGAGGAATGCACTCACCTTGGAGGGGCTGCTCCAGGCCACTGAGCTGCATGGGAATGCTAAAGGAGAAATTTGTGACCACTGCACTGAGGTTTGTTCATGGAGCTGTGTTTGGAATGGAGCAGGATGGACTCTGGATGAGTTTCTGGGTCTATTTTGTTCCCATTTCATTAAATATTTGTCAGAGGATACAGAGGAAGATCCCGGAGAGAGCCTGAAATACAAAACGTGCGAATACAAGTCCCATACTTGTGCTGTGAGCCCTGTCAGCTGAGGGGAGCACTTGAGCAGGTGTGACACATGTGTGACACATGCTTTGTCACCCTTGTTTTGCTCCAGGAACCTGAAGAAGTTTCGCAAGTGGCAGTGCAAGCAGGTGAGGGCCCTGCGCAGCGAGGTCAAGAGCTCCTGGAAGCGCCTGATCGGGGTGGAGAGCGCCTGCAACGTCGACTGCCGCTTCAAACTCAACACCCACAAGATGATGTTCATCATGAACTCTGAGGATTACATGTACAGGAGGGGAGCTCTCTGCAGAGCCAAGCAGGTACATCTCCCTTGTGCTCCCCATTCAGCCCAGGTGGTAGCAGAGGTTGGGGGTGGGAGGCAAAGTGTAGGTGTCAATAATTCTGATTCCACGGTACCAATTGCAGGAATTGTGGCTGAGTTCTTGCAAGCTGCACCCAAAAGTTACTGCTCTGTGTTGGGTGTAACACAGAGGACAGCTGGTAAATGCTCTGTACTTTGGATTAGCTTAGCAGCCTTTTCTTTACATGCAAATTTTAAGTGGGAGTGGCAGCCATTAGGAAATAGGGGTGGTTAAACGGTCTGTGGTTTCCTGTTTCCGTTGGTGCCGTTCCCAAAGCATTGCACTCCTCAGGTAGAGCTGAGGGCTTTGGCTTTTCCCCCAGGAACCTCTCAGTGATCTTTACTGCCCTGCTCCTCCCAGGTCCAGCCCGTGGTGCTGCTGAAGCACCACCAGCAGTTCGAGGAGTGGCACAACCGGTGGCTGGAGGAGAACGTGTCCATGGAGGCCGTGGATGTGGTTCAAGACTGGCTCATGGGGGATGAGGATGAGGAGATGGTGCCCTGCAAAACCACCTGTGAGACAGTGAATGTCCATGGGGTGCCAGTGAACAGATACAGAGTGCAGTACAGCCGCCGTCCCGCTTCACCCTGAGCACCCAGAGCTCTGCTGGTGAAGCACATTGGCTATGAGAATAGTGGTGGGAATGCAATGTATGTATTAATGATATTTATCCAAGCAGCATTTTACTTTGGATTATCATGTATTTTCCATATGGCATAGACTTGTCTCCTTGCAGTGTAATCCTCCAGCCATCATGAAGAGACTTTGAAAAGCTTTTATGGGAAGGGGGCTCTTGGCATTGCCACACACTTTTTAGCAGTTTCCTGGCTTTAGGCCACTGCTGACCAGCTCAGTTGAGGGGGTGAACTACCACTAGTGGCTGCTTTGGAGAGGTGGAGCTGGGCTGGTGTTTGAGCAGATGCTGGCAGCTGCTTCCACTTCCAAGGGTTTGATATTCCCCATCTTCCTGACTTTGTGCTGTCTTGGAGCCTGCAGAACTCTTCACTGTACCCTGGCAGTGCCAGCAGGGCTGAGAGCCCCTGGCACAGGGGGGCTTCATTATCCCTGTGACCCAACAAGGCAACAAATGACTCTTGTTCCTGGTGCTCTGGTGAGAAAAATGCCAAAACTGACACGAGCATGGCCAGCACTCAAGGCTCTGACTCTCCTTCATCAACCAAGTGTTCAGGAGCATGAGCTGAGGGAAGACCCCTGAGCTGTGGTGCTGGGATGGGAGTGATGCTCAGCCAGAAATCCTCAGCTGCCAGCTCTGCTCTGGGAGCTGAGGAGCTGCTGCAGACTCTGCCTTCCGGAATATCCACGGGGAGGAGCGTCCCTTGCGAGGTCTGGCCTGGTTTTTGGGTTCGTGTTTTGCATGTTTGGGGGGCAGCTCCAGTGCTGGGCGTTTCCCTGTGCGGGCCCTGCCCCCGGCGCTGCGGGGCTGCAGCGCCTCGGTGGCAGCGGCAGATGGAGCTCCCGGAGCACAGCTGGGAGCTGAGACCCGGCCCGCGGCCCCTCCTGTCCCTGCTGGGTCAGCACCGGCGCTGGGTTTGCAGGGACACACGGGAATCTGCGAGGAGCAGAGGGAGATGCAGCCACAACCGTCCTAGACGAGCATCCATACTGCTATTGAAGCTTTTTTTGCCATGAAGCCTAACACAGCCTGCCCTGATCCCTGCAGAACACTACATCTGATTTAATCTAGTGAGAAATCAAGGGAATTTACTGGTGTCTGTCCTGCAGCCCCACTGTGACTTCTTCACTCCTGTTTTTCAGGGGCCAAGGGCAAGCACACTGTCTGTGGAGTGTATTACAAAATTAACATTTTTGAGGCATACCCAGCCTCCTTTCAGCTTTGCTTCCAACTTTTCCCTGGCTTTTGGGGCAATAACCCCCCCCCCACCCCTGAAACTTTCTGTGGCTTTGATTTTTAGGTTATGATTTCTGCCAGACCTAAGGAGCAGCCTGTAGGATTTGTCCTGGGTTATTTCCACTGTACGACATCTGGTTTCGCAATTGTCTCACTTGACAGTAGAAAAATTGGCCTTTGGGGTATGTTTAATAGAAAACTGTCCCAAGTCTTTGTCTTTTTTGCAAAATAATCTGTGGGAGGGAAGGAGGGAGGCCACTCTCTGGCATTCGTGGCCACTTGCACAACCACTGCCAGCAGAGATTTTCAAGAGCCCGTGTTCTCCTGGGCTGGGTCTCTGCTAAACTTTGGTTCCTGAAATGATCTGAAGGTTCTTCTCCTGCCCTCCTTGCAGTGATAAGAGGCCACGAGGCTCTGTAAGGGCTGGGGGGAGCAGGGGGACAAGGCCAGTGCCAAGCACAGTGTCCCCCTTTCCTTTCCAGCCAGCTCACCAAAACACACCTCAGTCCTGCTCTCCTCTCTGCTGTCTCCCAGTGGAGATGACAATTGTGCCAAATTTTATGGTTTTATGATACAGAAAACTGTTTACTAGAAAATAGGTGGCAACTTGTGGCTTAAAATGCATTTGATTCCAGGTGTCCCAAGGTGGGCAACACAACCTGGGCACCGTCCTGTTCCATCACCCATTCTAAGTGTACTTCAGGTATTTTTAAGCATCCTTATTTTGTAAACCTTAATTTATAATCTGAACTGATTAAGCAAGAGTTTTGCCCTTTACAGTGCTATTGTCTCAAAGCTGAGAGTAGCAGAGGATGTGAAGGGAATATCAGGCAGGTTTGAGAGGGGCTTGTTCATGTCTGAGGGTTTCAGCTGTGTAACTGCACGACCTTGAGTCAAGAGTTTGTTCTTCCATTTGTTTGAAGGATCTTTGCTTTTGGGCTTGTAATTGCTTTGCCAGCTCCTTGAATGTAGTTTTTTTTATATTTATTTGCACATTCAAGTAAAATAAAATATTGATTTTAAAAGTCTGCAGCTCTCACTGTTTTACGTTTCTTTCCAGCTAATTTAAACTATGTGACAAACACCCAGAATTGATTGGTTTTTACCTGAAATTGAAATTTAAATGGGAGAAAAATGCAGTGGAAAGGTTGAAGTTGCTGGACAGGCTGATTCAGCTGTGTGAGGGTGTGAGCAGTGCACTGCTGATGGAAAAGGGAAAATGCAGGAGCTGGGGCTGCACTCACCAAAGCCCCTCCTGCAGCAGGGAGCCCAGGGGGTGGCACAGTTGCTCCACCAGAGAGGTCTCAAAGCAAACATTGGAAGGGCTGGAGCTGGGCCAGGCCTTGGCATGGAGCTCAGGGCAAGGTTCTGCCCCCCGAGGCTGCTGGGCACTGCCCAGGCTCCCCAGGGAATGGGGCCAAGGCTGCCACAGCTCCAGGAGCCTTTGGACACAGAATTCACAGAATCACAGAATTTTGGAATCACTGGGTTGGAAGAGACCTCCAAGATCATCGAGTCCAACCCAGCCCCAACACCTCAACTGAACCCTGGCACCCAGAGCCACATCCAGGCTTTGTTAAACACAGCCAGGGATGGGGACTCCACCACCTCCCCGGGCAGCCATTCCAGAGCTTTATCACCCTTTCTGTAAAAAACCTTTTCCTGCTATCCAACCTGTATTTCCCTTGGCACAGTTGAGGCTGTGTGCTCTGGTTCTGTCAGTTCCTGGAGAAAGAGCCCAGCCCCAGCTGAGCACAGGCACCTTGCAGGAGCTGCAGAGAGCGATGAGGGCACCCCTGAGTCTCCTTTTCTCCAGGCTGAGCACCCCCAGCTCCCTCAGTTGTTCCTCACAGGGTTTGTGTTCCCAGCCCCTCACTGACAGAGCTCTCAGGGCTGCTCAGGGTGGGGTTTGGGGTGGCTGTGCAGGGTCAGGAGCTGCATTTGATCCCTGAGGGTCCCTCCCAGCTCTGTGACCCTTTCAGCTTTTCCCTGCCCAGGCTCAGCTCTCACAAAGCTGAGGGCCAGGGGCTGGATTTGATCCTTGTAGGATCCTTCCAGCTCTGGAGTTGTGTCCTGCCAGGCAGTGACTTCTTGCAGCCTGGTTCCTGCCTAGCAGCACCTTTGAGGTGAGGCACAGCCCCAGGAATCCCTCACTGAACACAAGCAGGGCTCAGGAGAAGGGGCTGATCCCAGTTCCCAGCCCCACAAGCACATCTGCTACAGGTTAAGACAACACAAGTGCAAGCATGAAAATAACCCTCCACCCGCCTTTCCCTCAGCCTCCCCAAATTCCTGGCTAATAACATGTTTAAGTGTGCTCCCTGTGAGCTCTGCAGGACAAATGAATGAGTGGATTTTGCAAATGAAGCTGTAGTGATGTGACCCAGAGCTGATAGGAGTTTCCTTGACATCATCCCCAACACTTCCGTTGCCATAACAAAAGGCAGCTCTGCTCTCTGGGCTGCCCCTGCTCACTCACAGGGAAACAAGCTCTTGTTCTCCCCAGAACAATCCTCTGTGCACTGAATAATTGGATTAAAATGGTGGTGAGGGGGGGTCTCAGAGGACACTGCCCACTTTGCACAAGTCTTCTCTTGGCCCTCTCACAAAGGGGACGGTCCCTGTGCTGCACAGCCAGATGTGACATGAGAGATCTTGGAGTGGAGTGGACAACAGCAAACAGCTTGAAAACATCCTCCAGGTTTGCAGGATGGGATAGGTACAAATGGTTTGCACAATTAGAGTTGCTAAAGGGAGCACCTGAGTTCAGCATTTAACATTCCAGGATGTTTTTTAATTGTTTCCTCATCACGGGGATGCACTGGGAAAGCTGAGGCTGTGAACCAGTGAGAGAGACTGGAACTGTATGCAACCACAAATTGAGGTTTTCTTCATGTTTTAGCCATTCCTCTGGATTAGTACTAACTAATTCAATTCACAGACTAAATTAAACTCTAGCAGCTCCTAACCTGTGCTAAAGAGGAGTTAATTAAACTCCTAGTTAACTAAACAACTCCCAACCTGTGCTAAAGAGGAGTTAACTAAACTAGTTAACTAAACAACTCCTAACCTGTGCTAAAGAGGAGTTAATTAAACTCCTAGTTAACTAAACAACTCCCAGCCTGTGCTAAAGAGGATTCATTCTTCATAAAGAATGAATCCAAAGGGTCCTGATGCTGAAAAGGAATGATGATGGTGATGGTGATGATGGTGATGATGATGATGATGATGATGATGATGATGATGATGATGATGATGATGGTGATGATGAGGCTGTGTCAGACCAGGTAACCCCCACCCCACTGTCACTGTTTTACTGAGAAAGGCCCCCCAAAAAAGCTATTCCAGAGCACTGAGCTGTAGGGGTGTTAATAAGCTTCATTTCCTGGGAAATGTCTTCACGTGGACTTTAATGGTGTGAAGTGGAAACTGCCAGCAGGCAGAAGAGCAGCTCTGAAAAGCCTCCCTGAGCAGGGTGGGGCTGGGGAGAAAGTCTGGGATCACCCAGGGTGGGATCGCAGAGGATCGGGAGGGCTGTGGCACGACCAGGAGGAGAGGAGAGGATTCCCTGGAGCCATGGAGAGTCTCAGGCTGGCCCAGGGAGAAGGAGGGGACCTGTGTCAGAGATTTGAGGGCACTTTGAACGCGCAGAACCTGCAGAACCAGCTCCAAGCTGCTGCTCAGGAACCCCTGGAGCTGCTGGAACAGAGCAGCCGCAGTGAATCCCATCCTTTACCCACCACAGTTTGCTCTTCCAAGCCTCCAAGATGAATGGGACAGGCCAGGTGGGGTTTGCACCCTCCCTCTGAGCTCTGAAATCCCCAGCCCGATTTCCTGCATTACATCTTTTGGGTTCAGAGCCACGGAATGGAAGAGCCCCCGCTCCCAGGAGATGATCTATTGCACAATGAATTACTTTAAAACCAAATTGTTACCCCACAGGGCAGGGATCACACGACTTAAAGAGATGTTAACAAGCCGTGACAAACCTCTGGCATCAGAATTTTCAGGCAAGCTGTTCTGCATCTAAGGCAGTCACTAAAGATCACACAGCATCTGAAAAATGAAGGATACAGAGATGAGTAACCCCTCTCTGCTCCATTCCAGAGACCTGCCCATAGGAAGCAGGGCTGTGATTTGCACACTATCTGAACCTGATTATGGCTAATTTTTTGCATACAGAGCATGGAAAGGATCCTGGCTGAGGCATGGAAAATATGTGGCCACATGAGTCATTCTGCAATGGTTCATAAATCCTGAGAGAATCACAAAAGCAAAACATCTAACATTGCATCTTCCCTCTCCCTGCCAGTGCAACTCCACCTCTTGACACGCTCGGCACAGGGATGTGGGAATATGGTGAAAGCAGAGGAAATAGGATCATTTTCTCCTTGGAATAGAAGAATCTCATCAAACAGCAGCCAGGCTCAGATTTGCAACCTTCACAGAAGAGGCCATTCATGAGGCGAGGAGAAAGAAACGAGCTGCTCCTCGGCTTGCCAAAGCAAATTCACAGTTCCTACTGCCTGGGCTCCAGCTCCTGTCCTTCCTTCCTTCCCTGCAGGGCCAGGCAAAGGCTGCAGAGCACAGCCCAGAGCCCAGCACCTCCTGTCCCACTGGCCCATGCCACACTGGGGCTCTGACACAGGAGATGGGACAGGATTTAGGTGTCGGAGCTCAGTGCATCCCTCTGGGTGCCCAGAGTTGCTGAGGGGCTTGGAGACCCTGGCACAGCCCAGAGCACCTGGGGATTTGATTGTGACCCCTGGTGCAAGTTGCCAGCTTTCTATGAGGACCTGAAAGTCACACAGGTTTGAATGGTGTAATAATAAAATGATCACAGGGTGAAAATGTAGATTTTAGGATTTTTGGTATGGAGGTTGTGGGGACAAGATGGAGGAATCTGAGCGTGTCCAGCCTTTCTCCTTCTTGTTCTGCATTTTCTGCAGTGATGTTGGCACTTTGGGATGGGTTTAGAGTAGAAGTGCACTGTCTAACACAGGTGATAGGTGTTGGGAATTAAGTGTAAATATGTTATATGTAGTTTGTAGTATAAAAAGACAACACAAAGAGTGCCTGTGGCTGCCCTGCTGAGCAGACCTTGGCTGGGCAGAAAGAAAATTTTATAGAGAAGAATTAATAAACAACCTCAAGACTGAAAAGTGAAGAGTCCAGACTCGTTCTTCAGCTGCACAGGCTGAAACAGAGACATCCTGCACATCCTGGGGCAGCAATCAACAACCAGCTACCCAAGGTTTAGGAGCTTCCCAGAGCAGAGCACAGAAGGGACCTGCTCTGGGGCTTAGAGCAAGGGGAACCTGGCAGCAAAGGCTCTTAAGGCTCATTTAACCTCTGCCAGGCCCTGTTACAGCATCATCAGGGCTGTTTGCAGCTCCATGTGCTGCTCTGAGTTCTTATCCCTGGCAGAGTGGGGATTGTGCAGGGTGGGACTGCTCAGCTGTGGGGAAAAGCAGCTTTTTGTGGGGCAGGAGTGGCTGGAGCTCCCCATTATCTCCCCACCAGCAGGGACTTCCTGAGTGCCCTTTGCAGGCCCCTTTCCTGCTGCTTGGAGCTGCTCTCCCTGTCCCAGTGCTTTATCAGAGGAAGCAAAGCCTCTCCTCTCTCTGCCACCCACCCTTGGTGTGTCATGGTGCTCCTGCTGCTGCTTTCCAGTGCAAAGAGCTCCAACCCAGAGGACTTTTGACAATCCTCTGCACTAAAAGGTGCAGGAGCTTGGTGCTGTTTAGCCAGGAATAAAAGGGAATAAAAGGGAGCTCTGAAGGGCCCAGCCTGATCTGGAGGCTGCAAGGCTGACACTGAAACCCTTGCACTGCCAGAACACAGGGCTGCAGGAGCCCCCTGGCATCACTGGCAGGTCTGGGTGGTCTGCAGCTCTGGTGTCTGGGATATCTCCCTGTTTGTAGCACCAGCAAATGTGACTCAGGCTCGAGGAAAGGACCTCAGCTCACCCACAGAGCCACTCAGGTCTCTGTCGTGGGAGGATGCTCAGCATTTCCATGGGCTGAGC